GCAGGAATGAATTTCCAGTACACTGAGCATGTGCGTCTACAACTGTCGTGAAGACAGGTACACATCTGGAGAGTCACACCTACTCCCCGTTGCCTTTGATTTCCCATCTCTTCCTTGCTTCAAACCCCCACGTAAGTCTCTTTTTTCGAGTAGCCTGTGAATTTTCAGCCTCCTTTTTGGCTTTGACAAAGCTGTGGCAAGCAACCACTTTAACAATTTTTATATCCAGCTCTTGAGTAGCTAGCTAGCTGGTTACTAAGTTCCTCAGCCTTCTCAATATTCAAAAACTAAACTTGGGGGCCATGACCACTCATTGACAGTTGGTGTGTAGTCAGTATGTGAAATTTTACAAGTTACCTCGGTCTCAGTCATCTCTAGTATGTGGTTTAAAGTTGCCCTGTTATGGGGGCCAGCAGGTGGCATGGTGGTTGAGATGCCACACTCCTGTGTGATCAAACACGGTTCAAGTCTCAGATCTGGCAACTAGACACTCAGGCTAGGTGTATGTGCCATTGTTCACAACGTCCCAAGAGAAGAATTGAGGAGAAGGGATTGCAGCGTGGCCAGCCCCCTGGGGGATCATTTCTCACTTTCTCTCCGTCTGTCTGATGAATGAATGCACCCTATAGCAAAAATCTCTCTCAAAAAAAAAAAAAAAAAATTGCTCTGTTGACAACTTTGCCCTAGCGATCTCAATGATCTCAATTACCCCAGAATAATAGCTTCTATGGAACCCACATTTTCATTTCCCTGTGGCACAAGTGAAGTAGGAGAGAGAGGTGACCACGAAAAGAAAATGAAGGGATCTTCTCAGAAAAGCCTAAGCAAAGGAAATGATTTTTCTATTAGAAAAGAGCTTCTTGTCCCAGATTTTCACTTGCAAACTAGCATTTCAGACTCCATTGTAGCACCTAGTTAAAATTAGTTTTTGTTTTGCTTACTAAATTATGTATATACGCACAGAGCCAACCTTCTGCTCACTTTTTGAATTTTTTGTGAATCGGTTAACACTCCCCATTGTGCCAGATCATCTGCCCACTTGGCTAAAAATCAAGTCACTACTGAAGTCTGAGCTTTGCGGTTTCCAAAGCAAAACCACTCAGCTTTGTAGTAACAACGTCTCAAAAATAAGAACGACTGATAAATCAGTAGTGGTCTGAATCATAGTGTTTTCTTATTACATAGCCCGTTCAGAAGGGCTAAGTCCTAAGGTGTTCTACCGGGTTGTCAGAAAAGTCATATTGTATTTTTTCCATGCGAAAACGTGTCATGACTTTTCCGGCGCCCAATATATTATAAAGCCAGCAGTGTAAACTCACATCCGCTCCTCGCCTGAGGCAGACACCATCAGTCAAACACAAAACTTTCCCTCTGAACACAGAAACTGTCCAAGAAACCTTCGAAACTGTGCTTCGGGGGCCAGATGGTGGCACTACAGTAACACTACGCTCCGTGAGGTTGACCCACACTCACGGGTTGGGTTTGCATCCGGAGACTTCCCCGAACACATCAGGCACGTGTGCGACTGTGTGTCGGGCTGGCTGACCTAGGGCTGTCACAGTGTTGGGACCGTATGGAGAGTGCTGTCTCTCTGGCTCATGGATAAAAATAAATGGATAAACCTGGGAGCCGGCAGGCGGCACGGTGGTTAAGGCTCTGGATTCCCACGTGGCCAACTTCGGTTCAAGTCCTAGATGGCTTGCCTTCTCATTCCTCTCCCCACCCCCTAGGTCAAATTTAAAATTATAATATTAAATAAAATGAAGTAATTATATTTTTAAAATAAAGAAAGAAATAAACTTAAAAACAAAAAAAAAACTATACTTCAAGTGATGCTTATGAACCTACCGGTGCAGGCAGGGGAGAGGCTACTCACCAGCCATACTGGCCCTAAAACAACCAACCAACAAGAAAGAAGAAAAAATTGAGAGCCAGGAAGACTCATCCTTCCATCACTTTCGACGCTGGAACCACTCAGAGCACACTCCTCCCTTATGAACTAGTAGGCACTATTTTATCACAGTGAAGAGAGGAAAAGGGAGAGATCGGAAATGTTTGCTGCTGCGAGGACTTTGAACATGGTCTGAGCCTTCCTTCTGGCTCATCAGAGAGTACCAAAGCTCGGAGGAGAGCGAGTGCTGTCTGAACTTCACATGGCGCTAGCGAGAAACGGGACGCCTCCCTGTGGAGTGCCCTCTCCTTTGTACCACACCCCCTGGGCCAGGGCTGGCCACGGAGGTGAAGGGAAAGCCAGCACCACTTCTTCATTCGGTCCTTCTCCTCCTACCATTACCCCTCACCCTGTCTCTCAAAAATAAACATGATTTTGTGGCCCAAGGGGAAGGACATCGTTGGATTTCATATTCCCGCTGATGCCACAAAAGTGCACGCTCTCCCAAGATCTCTTTCACAATGACGAACAATCCTCAAACTTCCTACTCTATTGGAGACCTCATTTAATTTTATCCCATTACCTAACTGAGGGTTAGAACTGGACGTTAGGTGGGTGTGTGAGAACTGGTAACGTGTAACCTCTGCAAGTGAGCACATTTCGCACAGAGGCCACCGTGCTGTGCTTTAGGCCAATATCCCCCAATCCCTCCACTTTAAAATTCTACGCGTAACAGAACACACACAAAGAACCTGCTAAATCTCCCAAAGGAGACAAAAAATGATCATCTTCGTATCTCAGTCGGGTCAGTTTCAAACTTGTTTCTGCCATTGCTGTAGCACCCCACAGTACCCATAACCGGATGCACATTCTCCAACAACAGGATTTTATCGCCCACGTCCTGACATGTCACATCGCACAGACATGGCAGACACAGCCAGAAAACAGCATTCTTTCAAAGGGATCAAAGGCTTCAGCCAATACGAATCAAAACCCAAATCAAAAGATGATTTATTAATATGACCCTTCATTATCAAAAGCAGGAAAACATCAACTCAAAATGACTTCCCCATGTTTTGAGGCAATCTATTAAAAAGCACCCATTAAATACTCCTGGTGACAACTGGAAAAAAGAAATCAAGATACAAGGTTTCGAGCTGAATTCCAGGAAACTAATTTCTTACCACTCACGCAACTCTAAGCCACACACACAACAACTCCTAGTGATTCAGCCAGAATTTAAACCATCAAACAGTCTTTGACAACAGGATAATTTCATGTAGCGAGAACATTGACAAAGCTGCCGAATTATATTTAAGACGAGTCCCAAACACGTAAGCTAGGCAGGGAGACTGCTTATATACAGAAGCAGTCACACCCTTATAAATACACACGACCATGTCCAACAAATACAATGAACATAAACGACAAGTTATAAAAATAGCAATCAAGATCCTAAGTCGAGGTATTGCAGAAAGATGTAAGCATGCTTACAAAGAAAAGAATCAAACCAGAAACTGTCGACCTACTTCTTCTCCCAGTAAACGTGGCTAACAAAGGGATGATACAAAGGCTGTACGATCCCACGACCAGCAGTGTCAGTAAGGTAGCATCGTAGTGCCGCTCTGAGCCGGCCGGGGGGGTGAGAGTAGAATTGATAAAGATTTTTGAAGAAATATCAGTTTCTGTACAACTGCGGAATCCTCCTGGTACAGTCATTTAAAAGGCTCAGAGCACACTTAAGCAGGAAAAGCTGCAGCCATGTTCACTCTCCTACCCCTCATGCTTGCTCTTAGTGAATTAGAGTGGAGCAGGAAAAAAAAAAAAAAAATCTGTAAGCGCCAAGGCGCTACACAAAACAGATCAAGCCAGCTAGCAAACCAAACCGAGACAGCGACTCATTGATTCGAACGCTTAATCTGCAACAGGGACACCTCGCCACTAGACAGGCTCGGTGGGTGTGCGGTAAACCCCTTTGTTAAAAGACAAAAAGGAATGAACAAAAGCATTTTACAACCTCCTTAGGCGTGTCTGACACGGGACTGAAACAGTGGCCCTGTCAACATGGCTGTCGGTGGAACACTGGGTGACGGCACTGTAGAACGCGTCTGCTCTAAGCGCCACAATTTTCACCGCCACAACGTCCTTCGACAGCAGGCTGGTGATTTTGTTTTAGTGGTTTGTTTTTGGAAATTCGCATTGCAAAACAGAGAAAGCTAGAAGTGACATGAGCTTAGAACAATGCATGTGTGAACCAACACACAGTCAGAGAGGATCTGCTACTTGCAAACCCTCCTGACTCCATGCCACAACTCCCCAAGGCAAACAATACGCACATGGCAATCCTGATTAATTTTAAGTAACAGATTTTGATATTCCTGAAGGGCCAGACGGCAGCTCCTTGCTGTCGTCTGAGCCCAGCGCCTGCTGCTAAGTGGCCTGCAGGGTTAGCTCATTGCCTTTCGCACCACAGGAGCACTCTCCATCCTGCCCTGCGTTTGCTGTGTGACTCTGGACCAGCGACACCACTGGGCCTCAATGACCTCACATAGAAAACCAGGGTAACTGCAGAAGTCATTTGAGAAAAGCATGGAGTAGCGTATAATTCTGAAGCACTGCTCCACGGCCAGGAAGCTTCATAACCACGTATTCCACACTGGCCACGCCCATCACCACGAAGAAGAAACTGATCCTAAGGTGGAGACCAAGTCTCCGCTTCTCCCACACCCCCGTACCTTGGCGAGCAGGTTGTGTGCTCACCCACCTAAGTATCTTCCTTCTCTCCAGCTGCTTTTCAGAACAAGGACTTCTTTTCCCTCCTGTATCCCTCAATATACCCAGGGTGGGGCCAACATGCACAATCAATCCAAATCGGTTTGAATCGATTCCTTACTTATTTTGTGAGGCAATTTAGGAAGAAAATGAGAAAATAAACACTAAGACCCAAGTTTATTTTTGCATGAAGGGGAGAGTTCCAACAATTCACCTATTTTATACACCGTAAACAAAATCCACATTGGCTGGAACCTTTAAAAATCAGTCTCCTGAGGATATTCAGAATTAGGCTTAAAGTCATAACCTACCATCCAAAGTAAAAGATGACAAAACATACATCCACCGCATACAGTCTTTTACGAAGTAAATAAAACGGAAGGGATTATTTTTCTGATTTCTATTTGGGTCCCAAGAGCCCCTAGGTTGTTCCTCTTTCCTTCAATAAATCCCCGAACACCATCACCTCAAACAACGTACTCTAGAGTCCTACATGCAAAAACGTACCCGGTGGCCACGGCCCGCCCACGGTGGGGCAAGTGCGAAGGCGTGGTGGCCGAGGCTGCACAGGAAGCCCTGGGTCTGTTCCCAGCCCACCCTAGACAGGCTGGACACAGCGGTGCATGCATGTGGTCCTAGCTAACAGGGAGGCTAGGGTAGTCCAACTGTGAAGGGACTGAGACCCTGTCAAGAATATCTACCTGGGGCCAGCAGTTAGCCTAACGGCTACATCGCTGAACTCCCATGTAGCCGACCATGGTTCAAGTACCTGACCCGGTGACTGAAGTTCACACTGGGCACGTGTGCGTGCGTGCCCAAGATCCCGAGAGGAGAATGGAGGAGAAGGGACTGCAGCGTGGCCATCCCCGCTGGGGGATGATTTCTTGCTTTCTGTCTCTCTGTCTCTGTCTTTCTGGCGAACACATGCGCCTTATAGCAAAAACCTCTCCAAAAAAAGAAAAAAAGAAAAAAGAAAAAGAGTATCTACCTGGGGCCAGCTGGATCCCACATGGTCAACTCCACGGGTTTGAGTCCCAGACCCAGTGGCCTGAAAAACACTCCAGGCATGTGTGCATACATGCCCAAAATCCCAAGGGGGGGGGTACTGTGGCATGGCCATCCCTTCTGGAGGGTTATTTCTCACTTTCTCTCACTCTGTTCAACAAGTCCACATGCCCTGCGGCAAAAAGAAAAAATTCAATAAAAAAAAGGAAAAAGAAGGAAAGGAAAAAAATGATAAACTTCTCTCTCCTTCTCATTAAAAAATAAATAAAAATAAAACAGGTGTCGGGAACCAGCAGTTAGCGTAATGGCTATGTCGCTGGACTCCCACGTAGTCAACCGTGGTTCGTGTCCCGGACCCGGTGGCTTAAAACTCATGCCGGGCGCGTGTGCGTGCGTGCCCAAGATCCCGAGAGGAGAATGGAGGAGAAGGGATTGCGGCGTGACCATCCCCCCTGGGGGGTGATTTCTCGCTTTCTGTCTCTATGTCTCTCTCTGTCTGGCGAGCGCACGCGCCCTATAGCAAAAACCTCTCCAAAAAAAATAAAAATAAAAATAAAAATAAAACAGGTGTCTTTGACACAGGACTATTTCTGTGTTCTGTACAACAGCATATTAACTGAAAGAATACTTTTAAAAGGATTCTATTTTCCTGCTTCAGTATGCCTATCTTTCCTTACATCGCAAAAATAAAAATGCTGCTAGTGATTCGCAGAAGACGTGTTTTTCTTATAACTACATTTTCAGTAACTCTCAAGGTGTGGCTTGAGGCCAACTCACAATTATTGCTATAGGTGCTCGGGTCGCTGTGGGTGCTGGTGACGGAGGGGGTGCTCCCTGTCTTGCGCAGTGCAGGGCTTTTCAAAGACACCTTGGATTTAGGAAGTGGTCTAGACAGATTCACCCAGGACGGCTGTACGGTTTTCAACGATGTGGGCTTTCCTTGGGTAAAAAAAGAAAAAAAAAAAGTTTCCACTGTCATTCATCTTGACAATCAGCACTTTAACCTTTTAAACTCAAACTTCTGCACTAGTAACCGAGTTAAATGCAAAATGAATATTCAGAATCATATAACTTCAGAAAAAGCCTCAGACTTTTTTTAAAAAAATAATTATTTATTTAATCTCATTTACTGTTATTATTTTTTATTTTGACCAGACAGAGAGAGAGAGAGAGAAAAAGGGAAAGTGAGGAAGCAAGTTGCCAGATCCGGGACTTGAGCTGTGGTTGGCCATGTGGGAATCCAGCACCTTTAACCACCACACCACCTGCGGGACCCCAGATATTTTCTAATATATACTTTAGAGACAGAAAGCTGCTATGACAAGGCCACTGGGACATGAAACTGGGGCTGGTAACCCTGTAACCTGAAGTGATCAACTTACACAGCTTCTCCAAACAGAAAATAGACTGAGGGATCGTGAGGGCCGGTGGCGGCATGGTGGTTAAGGCGGCTGGATCCCACGTGGGCGACTGGGTGGTTCGATGCCTGGACCCACGCTAAGCATGTGTACATGTGTGTGCCCAAAATCCCGAGGAGAACAGAGAAGGGACTGCAGCATGGCCATCCCCACCAGGGGGGATGCGTTTCTGCTTTCTCTCTTTTTCTCTGTCTCTCTCCTGAAAAGGTACTCACCCTACAGCAAATTAAATAATAATAATTATCATGTGAAAAGAAGGCTCTTACAAAGTCGAAGTCAAAGCACAGACAGATCTGACCCCTCTCCATACTGTTGATTAAAGAAAACAGCCCATACATACATCGGGTTACCACAACAAAATAAATTTAAAAAAAAGTGAAAACTTAAAACAAACAAACCAGGACAAAGAATGCAACTTGACAAGAAAATTTCATTTAAAAAAATGCCTCCCCCAAACAGTAGGTGGTGCTATAATATCAATGTTCTTTTTCATCTCATCTGTTCCATCCTTACTCTTTGTCATTTATTTGCAAACTTCCATGATCTTTACTCAGATTTCTAGCCCTTTCACGCAGCAAAGGTGTTCCCACGAGTCAACACGCATGGCGCCTGCTCTCTGCTCTCCTCTGGCATCTCTGGGACCATGCGGCTGACGCGCACACCTGCCGCCTAAGTACGGCACGACGGGGGTTCGATTCTGCCTGGCACCTTCACACCCATGCTCCTGAGCGGCCGAGGGCTTTGTCTGCTCTGCTCTAGCCACTGCCTCAGAGGGATGGCGCCCGCACTCTGGCCTGCTGCCCTCGCCTCCCGCGGGCCCCAGGGCCTGCCTCAGTCCTTGGTGGGTGCCTCGCCTGTGCAGGCACACCCTAATTCCTCTCCAACAAGCCACTTCTCCTCGCTCACACGTTTTGTCACCCAGGCCCCCTATAATCCAACACCAAACGGCTCCCCATGACCAGTGTCACGTTAATTATAGAATTTTAAAAATGCAGTGAAGTGATACCGCGGCAGGTGACTGAGGACGGTAAGTAAGGCAATGCTGGCAGAGCCACGCTCACTGCTTCAGCCCAGTGACCTCACTTACACAAATCTCACCCAGCCGAGTACGAGGAGGCCGGCTCTGGGGCGCAGCAGTCCTGCACTGCTCCAGAGGGGCAGGGTCTTGCACAGGGTGCCAAGGGTTTCAATCTCCAGCCCGGTCAGCCTGGAATGCACTGGGCATGCACATGCACCCCCGAGACCCGACAGGCTAGGTTAGTCAGGGGACTGCAAGGTGACCAGTCCCTCCGGAGCGTGCACACGCTCGCTCTCTCTCTCATATACTTACACATGTGCATGCTCTATCATAAAAAAGAAAAATACTTAACGTCAAATATAAATATCTCTCTCTCTGTATGTACAAAGAAGCTAAGTTCCTTAGACATTGTAGGTCACATGCACTCAGGCTCGCCCTGTGCTGTGCCTCTGCTCTCACCCCTCACGGTTCTCTGACCTCGCTGTGCCCTCTGCTCCGGTCCCCCTCGTGCTCCGAGGCCAGGGCACACTGTGTGTCTTCCTACTTCACCAAGCACACCGCTGCAGCTCAAGCACTTCTCCCGCTCTCAAACCGAGTCCCGGGAATCCTTCCTCACTCCGCTGTCTCTCGCCTCGATCCCTGTCTGAGATGCTTAAAGTCCTGTCTTCCCATCCCTTCCAATCCCATCATGTTGACTTCTAGAATATGAAAAATAAGGTCACGACCCAAGCCGACATGTGAGACTCCCCAGTATCTACAGCACGGAGATCCTATTCTGAACCCTCTTCAACAGCACTGCTGCGATCCTGACCCTGACAGCTCTGGGAGCCTCTCCTTCCTGGACCCTCTCCGCTGCCTACGAGGACCACACCTTCCTCTCTGCTCCCGCCCCATCCTCGCCTCTGTCCCAGCATCTGCCTCCCCCCGTCCCTGAGAACAGGAAGAGTACCCGATTCAAGTCTGTCCCTGGGGCCTGGAAAAGCGTACGGCACGGAACGAGACGACAAATGTTTGCGAGGAGGAAACAAGTAATGTGGATCGTGTCTCCTCTCGTCATCTCCACGGAAGCATTAAACCCTTAACTTATTTTCACGAGCTTATTTGTTGCTTCAGTCTAGGAACCAGCGGGAGGAAGACACTCTTCTTTATGGCCTCTATAAGCACACGCACTAGGTCCTCAAAGACCCACTGGATGTTTTCATTTGTACTCAGCTACCAGTTTTACTGGCTACTAGAGAAACACACGCAAACAGATTTTTCGAACATGAAGTTACCAAACTGCTGCCCCTTCAGCAGACACATCCTGATGAGTCATCGCTGTCAGAAACAGCGAGCAAGGCCGGGCAAGTAGCAGCTTGGCTTTTCTGTCCGGCAGCCACGGGGCTCAGCCAGTTCAGAACAGCAGCTCACTGGGCGAGCTTCAGCGGCAGACAGGCTAAACCTGCAGCGACCCGCACGAGATTAGCACGGCCCCTGCACACGGTGCCACGCAGACTTGTGAATTTCATTACTGTCATTATTTTTAGATTTTTCCCACAAGGTGTTTGGGCTCGCCGGAGAGAGACCTCACTGCAGAGAGATCTCATCCAAAAGACAGACAGAAAAGAGACATAGAGAGAGAAAGTGAGAATTCACCCCACAAGGGGAGGCCACACGGCAGTCCCTTCTCCACTTTCCTCTTGGGATCTTGGGCACGCACAAGCTCCATTTCCAAGCCACGACATTCAGGACTTGAACTATGAGGTTGGACATGTGAGATTGGTGCCTTAACCACCAGGTCACCTGCTGGCCCTGGGTCCCGTATTTTGGTCTCACTAAAAGTGATCTCAAGTAGAAAAAAAAAATCAGCTTATTCTGCAGAAAGCCATGTTCTTAAAGCAGCACAGGTGTGCAGACATCTCTCACCGTGTGTCAGAAATACAACAGAAGATCTACGGCCTCTCCGATTCCAACGCAGAGCCTACGCCAGTGGCCAGCTCACCCCCAAGCACAAATGGCATTGCCCCGTCCTGCCCTATCCCATCTTCACAAGTCTCACTGCCCCCCCTTCCTGCCCTTTCTTTCCACTAATGACAACGTGTGTGCTCCATCGAGTCTTCCCCATTCCACTGTTACTCTCGACTAAGAAGCACGGGGGGTGCTAGAGAATGCTTGTTTCACAGAGAGAGTCCTGAGAACGAGAACACCCCCTAAGTGGCTACAGGGATCAGTCGGGTCACATACAGAACCACTGACAGCAAGGCCCAGAATCGAGACACCTAACCACCAGCCCAGTGTTCACGTTGTGCCATGAACCAAAACATCACCGTTAAAGGAAGAGGCCTGACGTCTAACGAGGGAGGAGCAAGACGGTGAAAACAATGGCGATACAACCAAGGCGCTTACCTGTCCTACAGTCCTAATGTTTCGCTTAACGGGAAGGTGGGCCGAAAGTAGTTACACGTGGTTTCAAATTTAAAAAGTAGTAAACAGAAACATTATAAGCAAGATTAAAAGAGGTAGGGGGGAAAAATCATACTGTACTCCCACAAATGTACAACTGCTAACTGTTAACAAAGATTCTTAAAAAAAAAGAAAAAACTAAGACATGGCAATATTGGGAATATTGAGAGCCTCCAAGTAACCTAAGAACCAAAATCATAAACCGTCACATCCATACAGGGCTCGTCTGACTTACATTCATGAGACGGTGACGTTCACCAGTTCACACCACACTGTAATTTATCCCAGATGGGAAAAGATCTACGACGTACTTGCAGAGAAACTGTTGACCTTCGTGCGCTCACTTTAAGCTCAGGGACTTAGCATCGACTTACAGCTAGACCACAGGTTTGTTTTGATTCTATAATTACAACCACCTTTTCGCACAGGGAAAATCTGGAAGAAATAATGTACACTTTGCCTTGGAGAGTAACACAGAGAATCTGCTGGAATGGATGCACACTTTCAACAACCAGGCCACTTACTGAGACCACTTTGGAAAACCCAACTAACTACATTGTATGCCACAAAATCAGGAAGGGAAAAGAAAAATAAAAACCTTGCAAAACTAAAAATTGAATAGATTTTTTTTTTTTAAATGATGTTAACATGGTCCTGTGTTATGGAACCCCAGAACACTGGTGCTTACAGGGGCCAGGGCTATGGAGAACTGGCGGATGGGCGTAAGGCCTCAATTATACGAGGCGAGTTCTGGAGACGTGCTGTGTTGAACAACCAACCCTGCATTGTGCACTTAAAGATCGACTACGTGGATAGATCTCATGTTAGGTGTTCTTCCTCCCAGAAAACAAAGAAAACCCCAACGTTGCATTTTGCATGACTCTTCCTCCCTAAAAAAGAAAACATTCTATCTTGTTTTTAATGCTTACACTTAATAAATATTGAGAAAGTCCATATGGATAGATCGTGATGTTCTGAGACTATCAAACGGGATAGCAGAATGGGACAGAACTGTGGAATTTTTCCATTCATACTTTATTCACATGTTGTTCCGCATAAAC